CCGAGTTCCAAGCTGCGAGCGCTAGATCTATTGCTTGCTCTGGCGGTGCATTTAACGGATGAAGCTAAACTTGATCGGCTAGTACCATATGTCATAGACTTGCTACACGATGAAGCTGCCGTGGTTCGTGCTGCTGGGGTGAGGACCTTGACCCAGGTGGTAAGTGGTACAGCCGGATTATCCTCCCAATTTGTTGATCTAGATCTAGTTGATGCTTGTCGCCGTCATCACACCTTCAAACGCGTCCATATTTCCCGAGTACATTTTTCCCAACGTGAGGCATCTGGCTACAGACACGGACGAATCTGTGAGGTGCATGTTTGCGCAATGCATCGCGCCGCTAGCCGATACCGCATCCAAGTATCTCGAGCTGAGTCAAGCGCTCAAGGCTCATGGGACTTTCAAGTTGAATGATGTTCAGGATACAGGCGAAATGGCTTTCGAGGTGTGTGGAACGGCTGTCGCTGGGTACGTTACTCACATGCATGGCAGATGTCTTATGAGGCTAGTTTGCAAGATCTTCACTCGGGCATTCAAGATATCCTTGTTACCGCTCTCGTTGATCCTTCTAGCACCGTTAAACGCGCAGTCCTCCACAACATATCCTCTCTGTGTGTTTTCTTTGGCCGACAAAAGACAAACGACGTTTTGTTGAGCCACATGATCACATACCTCAATGGCAGAGACTGGCTACTACGATACTCGTTTTTTGAGAGTATCGTTGGAGTTGCTGCCTGCGTCGGTCTTCGTAGTTCAGAGGAGTATATCCTTCCATTAATGATTCAAGCTCTATCGGGTGAGCAAAGCGTTGTGCTGTTGTACAACTTTAACGAGCTGAGATGAGCAGATGTCGAAGAGACTGTGGTTTACAAAGTACTGGCTGCTTTGACCAGCTTATCTGAGCTTGGGCTTTTCCAAAAGATGCGTTCCTGGGAGCTTTTGAGTGCGACCGTTCCGTTCTTGTATCACCCAGCATTTGGGTCAGGCAAGGCAGGTGTTCAGGGAATTTCTATGCGCGTTGTTAATCTTGCTTTAGGCGCTGTTGCTTTTATTGCATCTTCCACGAAACTTTTGCCTCCGACCGACGTATGGTGTATTCTATATCCGGGGCTCCGTCAGGCATTACGAGCGGACGTTAGGGTAATCACAGAGCAAAGCCTTCTCAGTACGGTTAAACCTCCTGTACGTGCGCACGTCGGAAGCAGCCCAGTATAAACTGACTCTTAATGCAGCTCTCCCGACAAATATTTGAGGCTGCCATTAGCTGGGCCATGAAGACTGACAAGAGTGCGTTTTGGCGTGGACAAACCTCCCGAGTCAAAACAAGCAAGGAGACACCGAAAACGCTTGTATCCAATATGAAGAATTCAACAGTGCTCCCCAGAACCGGGCCCAAGTCTGAAGAGTAAATCTCCTGCCTCTGCAAATTAACCAAGACTCATGCAGTGCTACAGGGACGATGCACAGATCGTCAAACTCCAACAGCTCGGAATGACATCGGCGGAAGAAGCCAAATTGGTTGCACTTCGGGACTATATCTTGAAGCTCGCCAACGCCATAAAGAGGTGCGCTTCGGTATTCCATGGATTCTCAGTGCTAACCGTTCGCAGTTTTGCGGTTCGCGACAAGGACGAGAGTGAGGTGGTCGACATCCTGCACAGTCCTGTTGCCGAGCTACAAAAACTCGGGGTTGTTCCTCAGACGGTTTTTGTTGGAACACGTCCCGCAGTGACTGAAACACCGTCTATCTATGCTGCAAGCGCATCGAATCGCAGGTCAACTCTTGACGTTACACCACGAACTCCTAGTCTCAATCTACCTCGGGGTCTGCGCAGAAGCAGTATGGATATTGGCTCAAGATCTGGCAGTCCATTTGATGATTTGCGTCGTCATCTAGGTCAAATGGAAGGCTCGCCTCTTGGTCTGGGAGTATCTCAAGCTCGCGTTATTGGAAGAAAGGATTCGCAAACGTCGTTGGCTAGCGGCAGTGGCATTCACTCGCCGGTGGCAACTGATCCGGCCTCTGATGCGCCTACTCTTGACTTTGCACCCTCGAGCCCTTCAGATGCCGTCTCGGTTTTATCTGGAGTGACTGGCCCAGATATGCGTCGCCGGCACCTTAGGCATCTAGTGCAAGACGGACGGGGAACTGCGCCTGCGACGGTAGCACCTGTGCGGACAGTAGCAGTTGGAACTCTGGAGACCTCTTCGAAAATGAGTGACATTCCTGCATCTGGGCGTACATCTCCAGCCTCCACTGTCCGCGGGGACCGACCAAAAATGCGATCGCCCGGGCCGTCTTCGCTGGCATATGGTGAGTTTACTCACATGATACGTCTGCCCACCCGTTTACAAAAGTATAGAGAATCATGGTGCAAATGTGAACAACCTTCTGGAGCAAATGAATATGGATACAATTCGAGAAGGGATGCAGGATTTTGGACCAAAAATTCACTCTGGTCCGATTCGACGACGCAATATCCCCCGGGGACATATGCCCTCTCGAGATGCCGGTCCCCGACGACCCGACGCACTACTCATATCACATATGAATGCACACGATGGGCGCATTAATGGCCTCGCTGTCTCACCTGACCATGCGTTCTTTGTATCCTGCTCCCATGACCAAACTGTCAAGATATGGGATACTGCCAGGCTCGAACGCAACGTAACCACCAAGCCCCGTCACGTATACACACAGCACCACGCTCCTGTTACATGCGTTTGCATCATTGAAGGGACGCATTGTTTCGCCAGCGCCGGTCAAGACGGGAGTCTGCACGTTGTACGAGTCCATGTCAACACCTCGAGCTCGTTGCCAAAGTATGGTAAACTGCAAAGTATTCGTGAACATCGGTGCGATCAACTTGGAGAATATGTAACTTGGATGACCCATTTTAACGCTGGTGAGTAAGCACTTGTTTCCGACCTATGGCTGCCAACTCGTGCCTACAGATGGCAGTCCTGCGTTGTTGTATACGACCAACCTTTCGAGCATTGTTGTGCTCGAGTTGCGTACTATGAGGGTACTGCGCACATTTGACAATCCTCGTCATTTCGGACCCATTACCTGCGCGTGCCTTGACAAAAAACAGAGCTGGCTTGTAGTTGGCACGACCTCTGGGGTCATGACTCTTTGGGACCTCCGTTTTGGGCTTCTCCTTCGCAGCTGGACGACGTCGGGTGCCTCGAATGGGAATAGACGTAGTATCCATCAGATTGTTTCATACCCAACCAAGGCGCGTAGTCGCTGCATCATAGTAGCTGTCGAAACGACCGGGGTCAACTCGCCAAGAACGGTTCAAGAACGGCTTCGAGGATCGATCACCCTGGAAGTGTGGGACATTGAAAAGGCTACCCTGGAAGAAACCTTTGCGATCGCTGAAGGTCCTCTGGATACAGGGGACGCAAGCGATACTGACAGTAGTCATCCCCCTGACCCACCTTCTGTCCCCAAGGAAGGATACGTTGTTTCCACCAATGCTGCCTCGGCCATTGCTGAACTTGTACGAATCCGGCGAGCTCGAGACAAGTCTCAAGAGATAAATCCCGACATTCTTAGCACAGACATTGTCGTCGATCCAGATGCTCCAACACAGAGTTGGATGCGCCCTGACGTCCGCGCACTCTTGGCGTTGGCAGACAGCAACTCTCTTGCCCAAGGCTCGGCTGGGAACAAGAAAGAGCTGGAAGGTGGAAAGGTTGACAAGGGTCGAGGAGGGTTTTTGCTCGTGGGTACAGAGTCTCGGCGCGTACACTTTTGGGATTTGTCCAGGGTCGAAAGGTCGGCGGTTTTGAGCGGATTGGATGCAGAGCAAGGGCCGCCACAATACAAGTGAGTATTCATCATGCACTTGATAATTTTGCCCAACTGTGCCTTTTAGAACTTGTGCCCCGGAATCCAACGGCGTAACTGCATACACCTGCACCTTTCCCGATCCAAACCTACCACCAGCTCCTGGCAGAGGTCAAACTCGAAGCACACTCACTGCCCAACATCACCAAACTGTAATGAAAACCCACACTGATATGATCACAACACTGGCCTGTATAGACACGCCGTTCAAAGGAGGCATAGTCAGTGGTGATGCGGCTGGCGCTATCAAGGTATTCAAGATGGAGTGAAATGTTTGTGGATTCACATGGCGGTATCCTATATATTATAGAGGTTCAATTGAATAATTGTAGCGCATTGCGACAGACAAAAGTTGGCATGGTCATGACGGTTGAACCCTTGCATAGGTATTGGGCGCCCATGCCTCGATTCAGCAATTGACTCTGGTGGCAGCCACAAAGCTAATTGAGCACAAAACATTTGACACGGGGCACGTTCAAAGTGCTACTTGTACTGACTAAAAGCCTCTGACCCAGCCTGGTAGGCCACCAGGCAAAGGCTAATTCGCGGGTTTCTTCCCACTTGGGGCATGGTTGTATTTAACACATATACTCGCGCGTGCATTTGACTCGATATTACAAGGAGTTTTCTCAGTTGCGTACGAGTCAGGGCCATCATAAATTAACTAAGGGGAGATGGGCATAATTTTTCAGGGAAATGGCCTTTTAAGACTCAGACACCAGTGTGTCCTTTGGCCTTGGCGTTTGGGTGCTGACTCTGGGTCGTGGCAGTCCGGCGTCGGTTCAACTTGTTGGTCGAAAGCACTCTGCTTTCCAAGAGCAATATGTGCGACATCTTATTCTGCTTGTCAGCTGTTGTAACTTGCAATCACGGCAGATAGGCCGGCGACCTTGGCGCTAAAATTGCGCCACCACCAAGTTCAACACATCTCGTCGTAGGTAAAGCCCGCCGCCTGTACAACTTCCAAAGTGTTTCTATGTATGTTTTTGATGATTCTGAGAACGGAAAAAATCAAACAAAATCCACATCACGCATACTTGAGGCGGAAAATCACGTGGCCTTTCAAAGTCACGGTTTTGAACTGTCTCGCTTTCAGCAACGTTTTTAAACGTTGCGCACCCCATTCTGAAGCTCTAAAAAGGAAAGGCATTATCCGGACTCGAACCGGAGTTAGCGGAATTACGTAATCAACCGGTTCGAGTCCGGTCCATCAGAATCCGCTGTGATAACCACTACACTATAACGCCCTTGCCATCTCGTATATGCACAGCATGCTATACGGGTTCTTGAAAACCTCACCACTCAAGAACATCCACCAAATACCACATTGACATCTGCACTAACATAGAGCATTGTATGCGCACAACTTATTCAATGGCCTGCGCATACAGCCTTGACACGGCGGCCCTCACGAGCTCCACGCTAGCTAGATCCAATAACACTTTTATTTAGCTTTGAATATAAAAAGGAATCGAGAAGAGCATATATGCTCAGTCAAAGTGTGTAAAGCAAGTTCTGTCGAGCCGCCATACTATACAGCCACCAACGAGCTTTTGGGTACATTTTTAATTTTCTAGGGACCAGTTCTTTCAAAGGCCTTTATCCCTCCACAGGTACTTGTCTCTACTCAACTCGTACGTTTGTTCACTGATACCTAGGGTAAAAGCTTCGTTGAACAATCTCAAAGCCTATCTCATGCGTGAGCGTGGGGGGAACGTGCTCGATGCTCGCCAAGAAACATATCGACGAACACCGGTAGTCCCGCGGATACAGCATCTAGCATTGTCTATTTTGGGGTCTCATAAACATACTTACTCGTTTTCTCCTGTTGGACGATGTACAACGGTTTCTTACCTGGACACTTTGTCGTCTCTCATGCGTCTTTAGCTAGTCATACAACAACTGAACGAGCTTTACTTTTGATGATCTACTTCAATGAAAACATATGATTACATGACGAATAGAGACGTTCCTACAGTTGAGGTGATGAAAACCCGTATCTACTGGGTCTATACCACAATCCGAGAACATTAAATGAGGGGAATGACTCAGTGAATATTACTGGGGACACGAGGGGGGACCAAACAATCAAGAAAAAGGGCTCCTGCGAGGATAGCCTAGCATGATTTAGAAAATATCAAGCGATGAGGATACAGAAAAAAAAGTTTGCACATAACGAGATGACAAACCCATAACATATTAGACTAGTTGCACGGGCGAAACTTAGGCATGTTATATCACCAGGCGAGCTAATCGTCGGCGTCTTCTTCGTCAGCCTCGTAGCCGGTCGAGGTAATGCATTTTTCAACTTCTTCTTCCGCGAACGAGTCACAAAAACCCGTCGAAAGAGCACACCCAGATCCGGGTGTGCTAGATTCTGCCGACATCCAACTAAACACATCTTGGAAGGAAGGAAGTTTTAGGTCTTCGAGGTCGGTTAAACTGGGACTGGAGTTGTGAATAGGAGGCAGAGTGTTGCCAACCGAATAAGCTAAACACTTGACGTTATCCATGCTGAGTGGAAGATGTGAATGGATCCTGGGGAGACTGTATGCGCCACCAATCGGTGAGGCAGGCAAAAAAGCAGGTTTGGGCATGTCCCAGCTCTTGGTAAATAGAATGCTTGGGCTTGGTTCGTTTGAAGGTGGGGTTAGGTTTCCCGGGACCCAGGTGTTATCGGTCGGGCTTGAGGGATACAGTGGGCCACCCATACCATTGGCGTGTAGTTCAATGGTGCCCTCAAACCAAGCCTTTAAAGACCCACTCTGGTGGCCGTTCTCGCCATGGATTTTGGTACTTGTAGAAGCGTCGGTCTTCGGGGCAGGCGTAGGCGATGTTGAGCTGAATTCGAAGAGCAATTTTAGAGCATCACTGTCGCTATCCTGTGGTAAAGGCTGGATCGGGGCAAGGGAAATTCGAGTACGTCGGCGGGGATAGTCTTCCTGTTCAGAGCGAGCCGAGGTGATGTCAGTATGGTATCTAAATATAAAATGTTGACACACTCACTCCCGAACCATGAGCTGGTTCCCTAATATGCTCAAAAGGTGACGTCTCCGGTTGACTGAGCGTAAATTGCGATCTCCCACTGTCAGAAGACGTCGCCCATTGATATTGCCTAGGCTGAGGAGTGCTTGGAGTTGGATCATGTACAGCAATATCAGCTAGAGGGGGGTGGGGTACCCAAGACGGTATGTGGCGAGGCAGTGGCAAGAAGCGGAGCGGGCCGAGCACTGAGATCGTATGAAGTCCGCAAATCATTCAAGTCGAACAAGAACGACCCTTCTGCATGTGTAATGGGAGTATCCAAGTGGGAATCTTCTCGAAATGTATGATTATTAGTTCTTGATCCGGTAGCGAAGCTTTCGTGAGGCAAGAATGCTGCCCGAGTTTGGACAATAAACGTGTCTTCCGCATTATAATCCGCAGACTTCCAGAAGGATTCATCTATCGAGTCGCCCTGGATTGTGTTGGTTCCGTCACTGACATTGCTACCCTTAGTTGGTAGCTGGCAGTAAGTTCGAAGCTCCGCGTGGCGAGTGGTAAGAGATATCTGTGGAGAGGAGGGCAGCGGCATGCACTGGGCAACCTCAAAGCTGGGAAGGAGGAGAGCCGAAAGACGTCTAGGCTGGGGGGCAAGGATGATAGGATGTCTATGCTCGAAATTGCGAGGCCTGCGTATCCGGGAGAGCGCATTGACCAGAGACCGAGTTGCTTCAAATGATCCAGAAAAGGCGTTTTCCGAGTCGATTACAGGTGAGTCGCGGCTAGACTATTGGATAAAGGTATTAGCCAAGAACATAGTTGAGAAGACAATCTCACATTGACGGGCAAGCTGCTATCAAGATAAAACTGATCGAACCGGGCCAGCACCTCTTCGTCTGAATCTCGAGGGGGTCCGGAAACAAGCAGTCAATGTCAGAAGAAGGGAATGAATCAGTGAAAAAGATGTTGCCAGGCGGATTGCTAGGAGCCGATTCATTATTATGGTGGCCGATATTAAAAGGATGTGTAGAATCGTAGGGAGATATAGAATCATGAGTACTCATGGACATAGGGGGCATGTGGGAAATACAGAGAGACATAGGACTAAAATAATAAGCCGTGAACAGGTAATAATGTGACTGGAGCACGGTGATATACGGGGAAGAGACAGTGCCTAGTAGCGCAAGAGGCGAAAGTAGCTCGTACCTTTCACCCTTCACAATAGACAGCTTATAAACACAGAGGTGGGGCTTTCGAGTTCGAGGCAACATATGGGCCATTCAGTGTCGGACGAAAGCGACAAGGAGGTCCAAGTAGCTATTGATAATCGAAATTACGGCCACTACACCGATTACAACAAAAAACATCCATGGGCCCAATCGGCCTTCCTGATGCCACGGTGAGATCCTATCGCAACCTCTATAGCATGAGATTTGGCACACGTTAGTTGCTGCACATCAAGGGGTGAACAAGGAAAAACTTGCCCGATAACGCGTACGGACCATGAGCCACAGTTATTTGACAGTTTAATTCACTTTTTAGGAGTCACTTGCAATCTCGCGTTCACTGCAATAGATAATGGATTGACCACGCATACATACACGTACACATTTTTGGCTGTCCAAACTCGACCAAACATGCCAGCAATCACTGATTTTTGCACTCCTCGGCTTTCTCCGCTTCGCCCTTCTTCTTTGGCCCAGTAGGGGCACGACGTGCCGGAGCGGCATCGTCAGAATCTTCCTCAGACTCGTCCTCATCGATCTAAATGTGGTTAGCATTTTCGGCTGGGAAGAGATGTGGTACATACCTCGCTGTCCTCATCCTCAAAATCGGATAGATCTTGGTCGTATCGGAGGGCTTTACCAGTAAAGTAATCGACTGCACGAGGAATGATCTGAGAATGGATGCATGATCAGATGCGATCAACTGTGGGGGAATAGAGGTGCAGAAGGGAAGCCGGGAAGGTTATCCTTATCAGTTCGCCAACCCAGTTTCCATTCAAGGGATATCTAGAATCGAGGGGGAAATATCCAAGTGACGTACCCTCTCTTTCAAGTCTTCGCCGACCTGATAGTCAACCTCCAGCTTCGCCTCGAGTTCCTGTATCTGCTCGTCGGTCATATCGTCTCCGTCAACGGCCTCGCCGCTCGCAATAAGATCGGCGTCATCGGACATGGGTAGCGGAGGAGTGAAAAAGTCAAAGAACGACGGAACGCTCTGGGTACGGCGTACAAGGCGAGTACGGTTGGTATCTGGGCACAAAATGTGAGTGTATGCGCATTTGGCGAATTCCAAGCCATACTCTTGTTTCGCTGTTTCTTGATCTCGATGGTCTTGGTAAGGTCTTTGTCCTCTTTCCACTGAATCTTGGTACCCTTTGCGCGCTGGTACATGTATTCGCCGCTATAACTGAGTTCTTTCTGTTGTGCGGGGGTCAACGGGTGTGTGCTTTGCGTATAACATACAGCAAACCTGGTAGTAGTAGGATTTCTCGAGCTCCTTGTTCTCGAAAAACGGATTTTCGTCAAACACAAACTTTATCGTGAATCCTAGATCCGGCTCGGGAAGGTAAGACAACCTATGTGCTTATCAGCACAAAGCTTTGTGTTTACGAGCATCAAGCGTACCTAACGTCAGACAAGTATTGCAACGCCTCTTCGTCTCGTTCCGTTATCGACTCTTGCAGTTGTGGGTGGTTCCTCAGTGCAGTCAGCCAAAACTGGGGGACACCCTTGGCGTCATCATCCTGAGACTCGGCGGGTGCCGAGCTTTTCTCCTTGGTAGTAAGCTTGGATACTGCAGCCGCAAGCTCTTTCTCTTGCTCATCCTCCTCCTCTGCTTTTCCTTTGCCGTAATAGCCTCCCCAGCTTCTACCTCTTGGTCCGTTGGCTCGGATTCCCCAGAGAGGATAACGCGGCGTCGATCATAGATGGGAGTAGCCAGCGCAAGATACTGTGATACAATCAGTCGACGTGCTTGACAAGCCTGTTCCAACAAACCTTTTTCTCCAGCTCCAATATCTCGCGCTTCATTTGGGCCTCGAGCTCAATAGACTTGGACTGGACGGCCTTTAGGGCTTCGACGCGACGCTTGACCTTGGGCGGCAGGTTCTCGACATAGCCAGAAGATCGGCCGACCAGACCAGCCAGGCGGCCTAATTAGGAAATTTTCGTAGACAGGTCACGAGTACACCACTGAGTTTGCGCTTTCTAGAAAAGAGATTGGAGCACGCACCCTGCACGAGGTTGAAGATAGCTTGTGC